AGGGTGTGGACACCGGCTCTAATGCGCGCTGTGGCTCGGGGCGCTTTACCTGGCCCCTCTGGCCTCGGTTTCTCCTTGGGTAAAATGCAGACGTTGATCACCAAACTGGCCTGAGGATTAAAATAAGTGTGAGTGAAAAAGCGCTTAGCATATCCTGAGCTCTCACTTTGCAGGCGCTTCGTCGCTAGTTATAAATAGTATGAACGTTACAATAGGTAGTGCAAGCCGTATGTAACGAGTGCTAATGTAGCAGCGTCGTAGGCACCACACACTACACGTACGGAGAGGTTTCAAATATAACGTATAGAAATGTGCAGTGCAAATAGGTAAACACAATATATGGTGACATTTCTTTCATTTAGAAATAAGTTGATAAATATATGCATATAAGTACTTTATATAATCATTAAGTACAAAATAGATAACCAAATTTATGAAATAATTTTACGAATGACTATAAAATATACAGTGAACATGTATAAATATAGTTATAAATTATAATTTACACAATAAACATTAAGTTCATGAAATAATAGAACATAAATACAACATAGAATTGTAATTTATAAAATAAGCAATTATTCAAGTTCCTAAGGAATCAAATATGTAACAAATAGGTAAAGTAGATACAAATCTAAATTTACACAAATATAGACATAGACATATATAAAATGCAAAATATGTAATTTAGTCAATATGAAAATGTAGATAATAAATGTAAACTTACAATACCCAGGTGGTGCATCATGCCCATCTGGGTCCGGCTGTGGGACAGTGAGCATTGCCAAGGACCCCTGTGCAGAAGGGTGGTGGTGAGCAGTGCCAGTTGCTGGAGACTATCCTCCGGCAGGCAGCCTCCTGTCCTCACAGGAGTCTTTGGGCCTCTCTAGGCCTTGGTTTCCTCATCTGTAGAGTAGAAATACTAATAGTGGTACCCAGTGCACTAGTGTGTTCATGAGGACTTGACTTAAATGCCCTGATGGGTGTAAGTACACTTAGAAAGATGGTCACCCCCAGAGGTGGCTTCGTATGTGTTACTTATTATCGTTATGAATACCTGATGATGATGGTAATACACTATTCACTAATTACAATAATCTAACTATAGTATCTAGTATATGTCATGTTACACATTATAGGTCACATACTTTGTACATTGTCATATACATTGTGTAGCATCATGTTTGGTATATTAAGTACATATTGTGTTACAATTATTGTTCACAATACAGTGTAATACACATTGAGTGTACAGAAGGTAAATGCTGAGAAGTCTGAGTTCTACACTCCTGGATGGGACTTTCAGCAAGTCACTCAACCATGTGATGCCTCGGCTTTCTCGCCTGCACAATGGGAACGTCAATAAGAGTACCCGCTTTGGAGGTACCTTCCAGGTGGTTCAGTGCCCTTACATAGAGCCCTGCACAGAGAAGGCGCTCTGAGTCGCTACTATTATTGAATCGCTATCACTAGGCAGGTCCTGTGCTATCTGGGCGGCGAGGTCACCTCTCACAGGCCACGTGCCGCGCATCCCTAAAAAAGCCTCTGTCCCAGGACTCTGACCTGACTTCTCTCTGGCTCTCTCCTCCGTCCCCCGGGTCTTCTCGCGGTGCCCCCCGCCAGGACATCCGGGCCCGCTCAGCCGCCTGGAAGACCGACAACGTGTGCACCACCGAGGCCGGTAATCGGCCGGAGAACGTGAGGAAGAACCGCTACAAAGACGTGGTGCCTTGTAAGTCGGGGAGTGGTGGGCGGGTGGGTGGCTTCCGGAGGGAGTCCGTGCGGCTCCGCACGCCCTCCGCTGCCCTGCGGTCCAGGCGTTCGCGCGGGTCCCTCTGTCACCACTGGGCTCCCAGCACGCCCCCTCCCAGAGCCTGGCTGCACTTCTTCGGAGCGCACTTTTCCCAAGTGCATCTCGGTGGCATCCCTGCTAGGCGTGCCGCCGCCTGCTATCGTTCAGCCAGGACCCCAACAGATGCCCCTGTCACTCCCAAACTCCACGTTTCTCACCTCTCCCGCTGGCAGACGATCAGACACGAGTGAGCCTTTCCCTGCTCCAGGAAGAGGGCCACGGCGACTACATCAACGGCAACTTCATCAGGGTCAGGCTGGGAGTCAGGGACGGGGCAGAGGGGGTGGGGGCGACAGTGGGACCTCCATGGTGAGCTCAGCCTTTACCAGGGCACAGATGGAAGGCATGCCTACATCGCCACACAAGGACCACTGCCTCACACCTTGCTGGACTTCTGGCGCCTGATCTGGGAGTTTGGGGTCAAGGTCAGCTTGGGGGGAGGGTGAGGTGGGGCCAACATTCTGGGTCCTTCCTTGGCCCTCTTTCCCCCACCCCCAGCCCAGATCACCTCCTTCTCTCTCACCCCTCTTGTCTAGGTGGTCCTGATGGCCTGCCGGGAGACAGAGAACGGGAGGGTAGGTGTCCTCAGCCCCTGGAGTGCATGTCCTTGTGCACAGAGGCAGGAGAAATCCTGCTTGCTCCTCCCTGACCCTAGGACTCAAGAGCCCAGTTCCTTGGAGTGACCCCCCTGTAACTGCTGAGAGCCCGCTATTACTCTAATTTTTTGTTGTTATTGTTCTTTTTCCTTTTATTCATGGGGCTTATCTCCCCAATGACCTGCTGGTCTTTCCACCCCATTCCATACCATAGACCAGAAGGCCCCATAACTGTGGCTTCCCCAGTACAACTCTGATCTCTTTCCACCTCTCTCCTTTATTCAGTCCACTCCAATCTCTCTGGCCTTTGCTTTGGGTCCTGTGCTTTGTCTGTTCCCTGTGTCTGGGACATATCCCCCTTTCGTCTGCTCCATCACCACCTCCACGTCTTGGCTGTAATGCTGCTTCCTCAATGAGATCTTCCTGAATCTCGCCCCATGTGAAACTCCCAGCACTCCCACTCTCCTTCCCTTGTCCTACTTTCATTTTTTCTTCTAAGTTCTTTTTTTGTTTGTTTTTGTTTTTTGGATGGGGTGGAGGTAATTAAGTTTACTTACGTGTTTTTAAATTAATTTTGATTAATTTGTTTCTTAGTGGAGGTACTGGGGATTGAACCCAAGACCTTGAGCATGCTAAGCAAGCACTCTACCACTGAGCTATACCCTCCCCGCAAATTTTTATTCTCTTTGTTTTATTTACTTATTTATTTGTCTGTTTCTGTTTTTTTTGGGGGGGAGGTAATTAGGTTTATTTATTTTTTGATGGAGGCACTGGAGATTGAACCCAGGACCTCGTGCATGCAAAGCACGTGCTCTACCACTGAGCTATACCCCACCCCCTTCAAAGTTCTTAGCAACTTCTAACATACAAGATATTCTACAAATGTATTGTTTATCCTAAGTCTCCCTGATTAGAGGAAAAGTTCCATGAGGGCAGGGATCTTTGTTTTGCCTGTTAGAATAAATTCATTACTTGGTAAATGTATGTCAGCACTGAAGGCACATGGGTTCTGCACCCTGGCCTGCTCCGTGGCCAGGACTGGAGGTGGGAAAGTCCTGCTGTGGGACAGCTGGCCCATCATGGAGCCTGTCCAGTCTGCAGTGATGCACCTTTTTCATTCCTAATTTTGGTAGTTTGTGGTCTGCCTCTCTCCCCTGTGCAGTGTGGCTAGAATAAAGACAAGCAAACTTTAGCTGTTGTACTAAATCTGTCCTGCTGCCTGTTTTTATAAATAAAACATATTAGAATATAGCCACGTCCATTTGTTTACACAGTGTGGAAACCTGCTTTCATGCTACAAGGGCCAAGTTCAGTAGTTGTAAGTTAGGTAGATTCTGTGGCTCGCAAAGTCTGGAATATTTATTATCTGGCCCTTTATAAAACAGCCAATCTCTGGGCTAGAGCTTTATCAATTTTATTATTTTTTTCAAAGGAGCATCTTTGGGTTTTATTCATTTTCTCTATTTTTTTCATTTTTATTTCATTAATTTCTTCTCTCACCTTTATTATTTCCTTCCTTCTGGTTATCTAGGTTTAACTTCCTCTTTTTTTTTTTCTAGTTCCTTATGCTTAGATAATAGAATTTGTGATTTTTTTTTTTACATGTAAGCATTTAATGTCATTCATTTTTCTCTAAGTACTGCTTTAGCCACATCTCACAAACTGGGTATGTTGTGGCTTCTTTTCCAATAAGTTCAAGGTATTCTCTAATTTTCCTTGATTTCTTCTTTGACTAATAGTATTTGACCATGGCTGTGCTTACTTTCCAAATACTTGGGGACGTTTCCATATATCTTCTTGTTATTAAGTTTCTGTTAATTCCGTTGTGGTCAGAGAACAACTTTATATGTTTTCAGTCTTTCCAAATGTTCTGAAACTTGTTGTGTGGCCACGAACATGATCTATCTTGGTAAATGTTTTGTGTGCACTTGAAAATAATGTGTATTCTGGTTTTCTTGAGTGGAGTGTCCTATAAATATCAATTAGGTCAAATTGATTGTCTTTCTGAAAGACACTTTAATATCTTCTATATCTTTACTGTGTCTTCCATATCTTCACTGATTTTTTTTTCTCTAGATGTTTCATCAATTGACAAGAGAGGAGTGTTGGAACCTACAACTGTTCTCTGTCAGGAGGAGCTTGTCAATAATATTTTTCAGATCTTATTATTCTTACTTTTTTTTGTCTACTTGCTTATTTGCTGAAAGAGGAGTTTTGAAATCTCTAACTCTAATTTTAGATTTCTCTTTTTCTCCTTTCAGTTCTGTCAGTTTTTGCTTCAAGTATTTTAAAACTCTATAGTTAAGTGCAAATACAGTTAGGATTAGGTCTTCCTGGTAAACCAGTCCCATTTTAAATATTGTAATGTCCCTTTTGTCTCTGGCAATATTCTGTTTTCTGAAGTGTACTTTGATATTAATAGAACCATTTAAATTTCTTTAGATTGCAGTGTGCATGATATATATATTTTTCATTGTTTTACTTTTTATCTGTCTTCATTTCTATCTTTAAAGTGTGTTTCTCATAGCTGGCGTATTGTGGGGACTTACTTTTTTACCCAGTCTGACAATCTCTACCTTTCATTGGAGTATTTAGTCTCTAATATAATCATCAGTAATGTGTCTAAATCTACCGTTTTCTATTTGTTCTATCTGTTCTTTGTTCCTTTTCTCCTTTTGTCTTCTTTTTAAATGAGAATTTTAATAAGTCCATTTCATAATCATTATTCATTTATTAGTTACACCTTTTTGTATTATGTGTTTGTGTGCTTCATGGAATGTAGACAGTAATAATAATAATAATAATAATAATAATATTATGCCATTTCCTGTTCAAATAATATTATGCCATTTCCTGTAAAATGTGAGAACTTTACAATAGCATATTTCAATTTTCTCTCTCCAAGCTTTAGGCTATTGTTGCCATAGGATTTACTTCAAAATATAAAATATACTACACAGCACACTGCTATTATTTTTGATATAGATTATCTTTTTTAAAAGACAACCTTACTGAAATACTATTTATCCACGTTAAGTGTGCAGTTTCAGTTGTTTTTAGTATATTCCTGAGTTGTACAACCATCACCACAATAAATTTTAGAACATTTTCATCACCCCGTAAAGAAACCCTGTATCCCATTGGAAGTCACACTCCATTTCGTACTAAACTCCACCCTAGACAACCCCTAATCTCTTTTTTGGTCTCTACAGATTTGCCCACCGTGGACTTTTCATATAACTGGAATCATATGATATGTTGTCTTTTGCAACTGGCTTCTTTCACTAAGTGTAGTGTTTTTAAAGTTCAGGCATAGTGTAGCATGTGTCAGTACTGCACTACTTCACTCCTTGCTGCTGAATAACATTCCATTGAATGGATATACCACATTTTATTTATTCATTAATCACTTTATAGAATTCGAGCTGTTTCCAGTTTTTGGTAATTATGAACAGTGCTGCTGTAAACATTCATGTGCAAGCTTTCGTGCAGACGCTCTGTCTTCATTTCTTTTGGGTACATACCTAGCAGTGGAATAGCTGGGTCATATGGTAACTCTATTTTTAGCATTTTGAGGAACTGCCAGACTGTTTTCCACAGTGGCTACATTGTTTTACATTTCACCCAGCAATGTATGAAGGTTCCAATTCCTCCACATCCTCACCAACACTTGTTACTGTCTCTTTTTTATTATAGCCATCATACTGGGTGTGAAGTGATGTTCATCCAGTCTTTTTTTTTCCAGTTGTGGTAAAATATATATAACATAAAAATTGCCATTTTAACGATTTCAAGTGTACAATTTAGAAACATTAAGTCCATTCACAAGGTTGTAAACTGTTGCCACTATCCATTTCCAGAACTTGCTCATCATCCCAAACAGAAACTCTGTGCCCATTTAACAATTATGCCTTATTTCCCCTTCATCCAGCTCTTGGTAGCCTTTATTCTACTTTTTGTCTCTATTACGCTGGCTATTTGAGGTCCCTCGTATCAGTGGAATCATATAATACTTGTCCTTTAGTCTCTGGCTTATTTCATTTATCCTGTTTTCAATGTTCATCTATGTTGCAGTATGCATCAGAATTTCATTCTTTTTAGGGCTGAATAACATTTTGTTTATCCATTCATCTGTTGATGGACATTGGGTTGTTTCTACCTTTGGCTGTTGTGACTGGTGCTGCTATGAACATTGGTATAGAAGTATTTTGAGTCCTTGTTTTCAGTCCTTTTGGGTATATACTAGAAGTAGAATTACTGGTTCATACGGCAATTCTGTGTTTAATTCCCCCCCCCCCACACACAGTGGTGGCACCATTTTATACTCTCACTAGCAATACATAAACGCTTTTTAATTTTGAGGAATTCAAAATTCCTCTCTGTTGTTTTGATGTGCTTTTGGTGTTGTATCTAAGAAGTCAGTGTCTAACCATAGGTCAGAAAGATTTACTTCTATGTTTTCTTCTAAGTGTTTTATAGTTTTATCTCTTACATTTAGGTTTCTGACTCATTTTGAGTTAATTTTGGTATATGGTGTGAGCTAGAGGTCCGACTTCATTCTTGTGTATGTCAATATGCATTTGTCCCAGCACCATTTGTTGAAAAGACTGTGCCTTCTTCCTTGAATGGTCTTGGTGCCTTGCTGAAAACCAGCTGCCCATAAAGGTAAAGGTTTATTTCTGGACTCTCAGTTCTGTTCCATTGATTGATACGTCTATCTTTGTGCCAGTCCTGCATGATTTTGATTATGGTAGCGTTGTAACAAGTTTTGAAATCAGGAAGGATGAGTTCTCCAAGTCAGTTCTTCTTTTTTCAAGACTGTGTTGGCTTTTCTGGGTCACTTGCTGTGCAGGAAAGAATCAACATAGCAGGCGTAGCTACTGACGCTTAACAAGGCTTCCCTGCAAGGCTGGCTCTCGGCTAGAGATAGGATTTCCAGTGAGAGTGCCTCGCTACGCCTAAACTGTTTATGCAGACAATGTGTTTATGTGACAATAGGTTTATGTGAACACCTGCTTCCTTTCTGGGAGTCTGAGGTTTTGGTACATGCTAGTCAGAGATGCCTACATACCATACAGAGTGCCTCAGGAAATACTCGGGGCACTGAATTCCTAAGGGTGGTCTTGGGCATCCACGAGACACTTATTAATGTTAACGTATTAATGCTTATATATTAGTGTTAAGATCAGCTTGTCAATATCTTCAAAAAGCCTTCTGGGATTTTGATGGGAATTGAATCTATCAATTTGTAGGGTACAAAGATAACAATTTTTTCTGTGTTGATCTTGTGTCCTACAACCTTGCCAAACTCATTTATTAGCTCTAATTGTGTGTGTGTGTGTGTGTGTGTGTTCTTTAGGGTTTTTTATATGTAACGTCATGCTATCTGCAGATTGAGATAGTTTTGCTTCTTCCTTTCCAATCTGGGTAAACTTCCTTCCTTCCTCGCTTTCTTATTCCTTCTCTCTATCTTTTTTCTTTTTCTCTCTCTTTCTCTTCCTCCCTTCCACCCTCTCTTCTTTCCTTCCTTCATTTCTTTTTTCGTATTTGCACTGGCTGCAACTTCCAGTACAGAGTTGAACAGAAGAGGAAAGTGCAAACACCCTTGTCTTGTTTCTGATCTTAAGTGCAAAGCAGTCTTTCATGATTAAGTACTAGGTTAGCTGTAGGGTTTGGTAGATTTGGGTTTATTATTTTTTTTATCATGATGAGGAATTTCCTTTCTATGTCTATCTAGTTCCTTTCATGGTTTTATCATGAAAGTTGTTCAAAAATATTTTCTGCATCTGTTCAGTTGATTATGTGGTTTTGTTTTATTTTCTGTTAATATGGCACATGATATTGTTCGACTTTCATAGATGCAACCAACCTTGGGTTCCTGGGATTAATGCCACTTGGTCACTGTGTGTAATCATTTCTTAATATTTTGTTGAGTTTTGTGTCTATTTTCTTGAGACATTGTTGAGTAGTTTTCTTGTGATGTCTCTGTCTGGTTTGAGGGGAGGTCATTAGGTTTATTTATTTATTCTATTTAATTAATTAATTTGTTAATGGAGATATGCTAAGCGTGCACTCTACCGCTGACCTACACTCTCTCCGCTCTTCTGTCTGGTTTTGGTATCAGAATAATACTGGCCTCATACAACATGTTGGGAAATGTCCCTTCAATTTTTTTTGAGGAGGGGGAAGTTTGTGAAGGATTGCTATTATTTCCTCCTTTTTGGATAAAATTCATGAATTACCTTTTAAAGATGTTAAAAATGAGAGATACCTTTTACATCCAGCTGCGTACTTAACCTTTTTCTTCACTCCTCACCCCTTTGTGTTAGGGCTGTAGTCCATCTGGTGTCATATTCCTTTGGTCTGAAGAGCTTACTTTAGTGTTTCTCATAGTGCAGGCTTGCTTGTGATAAAGTCTCTCAGCTTTTGTGTGTCTGAAAGTTATTTTTTTTAATTGCAGCAGTTTTAGGATGTCCCACCATTGACTTCTGGCTTGTAGAGATTCTGACAAAACTCCGCTGTCATTCTTACCCTTGTTCCTCAGTATGTAATGTGTCTCGTGTGTGTGATGCTTTTAAGATTTTTGTCTTTATCATTGTTTTTCAACGATTTGTTCACAAACTGCCTTGGTGTGGCTTTCTTTATGATTTTTCTCTCCCTGTGCTTCACGGACCTGCTGGGATCTGTGGGTTCATAGTTTCATCAAATTTGGAGAAATTTCCAGCTCTAGTTTCTTCAGAAATAGTTTCTGTTCTTCAGTTTCCTTCTGGACTACAGACACACATACATTAGACCACTTGATATATTTTCACAGGAATCTGATTCTCTGTTCGTTTTTTACCCATTTTTTTCTCTCTTTTCATTTTGAATAGTTTCTATTGCTATGTCTTTATGTTACTGGACTTTTCTTCTGATGTCTAATCTATTAGACTGTGAATTTTTTTAAATTGAAGTACAGTCAATTACAATGTGTCTTTCTCTGGTGTACAGCACAATGTTCCCAGTCATGTGTCTATATATATATATATATTCATTTTCATATTTTTTCCATTAAAAGTTATTGCAAGATACTGAACATAGGTCCCTATGCTATACAAAGGAAACTCTTAAAAATCTATCTTTATATATAGTGGCCAGCATTTGTAAATCTCAAACTCCCAAATTTATCCCCTCCCACAATTTCATAAATTTAATTTTTCCTCTCTAGAAGTTCCACTGAGGTCTTTTTTATAGCTTTCATTTCATTTTCATCACCTTAATTAATGTTTTCCTTTTCATTTTGAATATATTTTGTAATATTCATAAAAGCTGTTTTGAAGTCTTTGCTTTTTTCCTCATCTCTATTGGGTCTCCTTTTGCTGATTTTTTCTCCTGGGTAGAGGTCACATTTTCTCACTTCTTTGTATGTCTAGTAAATTTTTATTAGATGCTTAATATTTTTAATTTTATACTAGTAAGTGTTGGGTTTTGTTATCTTCCTTTAAAGGGTGTTGAACTTTTTCTGGAAGGCAGTTAAGCTACTTTTGGGTGTTTGATCATTTTAAGTTTTGTTTTTAAGCTTTGGGTAGTGGGGCGGGCCTAGACTAGCCTTTCTTCTAGAAGTAAATTTGTTCTACTTCTAATGTGTGTCCTTCGAGTTCCCTCTTGAACGCCCAGTCAGGTCTCTCCACTCTGGCTGGAGGAAATATCAATTATTTCTGTCCCATTGTGAGTACTGGGAAATGAGATGAACACTTCTATTCTTTCACGGGAAGTCATTCTTGCCTGGCCTCTGGGCGTTTCCGGTCATACGTGCCCCGATTACTATTCCAGCTTTAAGGGGATTCCTATGCAGAGTCCTGGAGTTTGTTGCTTTGGTTTCCGTAGCTGTTCTTTCAAGAACTCTGCCTTGACCTCCCTGGGCCATGATCTCTGGCTTTTCAACTTACTGGGATCATCAGTCTCTGTGCCCTGCAGCCTGGTGACTGCCTCTAGGCAGTAAGCTGGGGTGGTCCTAGGGTTTGACTCCATGTGTTTCCCTTTGGTCAGTGATCACAGTCCTGCCGTGTTCAGGTCCCATGTCTGCAAATAATGGCTTGTATATTTCATGGAGGTTTTTAGTTACTTACAAGTAGCAGAACACTCTGGACCGTCTTCCTCCTGCACTGTTGGAAGCTCTCGTCTCTACTGAGTCTGGGCGCTGGCCTCCTTCGTGGCTGCCACCACCTGTGCTTCCATCAGCAACCTGGGCTGTCCAGTAGGCGTGTGCACGTATCAACGTGAACTCTGAGGCAGGCCCCCGCTTCACCCCCCGCCCTTTCTCCCTTGCCTTTTGTAGAAAAAGTGTGAGCGTTACTGGGCCCAAGAACAGGAACCACTGCAGATTGGGCCTTTCTACATCACACTGGTGAGCTGGGGCAGAGGGGGGACAGCATTTGATGGAGTCTGGGATGTTGTGGGACATTTCACAGGAGATTCTGAGTTGGCAATCTTGTGGTCTGGGCCCGAAAGGATGAACAGTTTTCCCATGGTCACACACACACACACACATGCACACACTGCAGAAAGCATGCAAATAGTCAGAACTCATTAGGTATTGCTTTTGCATTTGAACTATAATCATGGTTATCTCTGTAAATATAAACATGCCTTGGCTGGGTTCTTAAACTTATTTCCCTTACTGTCCCCAAAGAACTCAGGAAAATCTCTCACCTCAAGTCAGACACACAGTTGGTCCTGAATAAATACAGTGAAACTGTTTTCTTTTAGAACAAAAGACATTTGTTTCACTGGAAATGAGCATGTGGGATATTTAACCATAGTTCCTCTTTCTCTCCTCTTTCCTTCACAAAAGTCATGGGGGACGTTTGGGCTAAATGAATTTTTCGAAAAGATGTTTTCGTATTTGATCTTTAATCAGAAATACTTTGTTTTCTGTAAATATGTCTTTTGGCACCTGTGATCTTTGTTCCCTGCCCTTTTCTCACCTCCTCCACGTCCACAGACAAGGGAGATGTGGCTGAATGCAGACATCATGCTCAGGACCCTCCAGGTCACCTTCCAGAAGGTACTGAAAGGGAAAGAGGAGACTCCCACATGGAAAGGGCTGTTTCCTGCCTCTATTTTCTCATCTGTAAAATGGGCATGGACAGTAATACCCATCTCTCAGTTACTGCCTGTTGCGTTTAAATGGAACGTGTGTAGAACTGGGCTGACATGTAGTAAGGGCTCAATAAATGCTTGTCTTTCTTTTTTCACCCTTTCCCCCTCTTTTCCTGTGTTTCAGGAATCCCGCTGTGTGTACCAACTGCAATATATGTCCTGGCCAGACAGAGGGGTCCCTAGCAATCCCGACCACGTGCTTGCCATGGTGGAGGAAGCCCGTCGCCTCCAGGAATCTGGTCCCAGCCCCCTTTGTGTCCACTGCAGGTTTAGGAGATGGGCTTTGTTGGGGGGTGGTCTGGTGAGACAGAGGGGAAGGCAATGGGGGAGGGAGGCAGGGGACGACTGTGCAGGGAGGGCTTGGAGCCGGTCTCGCCGTTTGAGTGCCCATTCGGAGAAACCAGGGGCCAAGCTTGCTCAAGTTGCAGCCAAAATTGTTGGCATTTATTGAGCACAGACTGTCCACTGGGGAGGAAGCACACAGCGGATACTCAGCAACTCTAAGCAATCTAAAAGTTTTCCTTTCAAATGATAATCTGGGATTCTGGGAATCAAAAGGTGCTGCAGGGACCCCCACCCCACCAAGGCCCTCACACCCAACCCCAAATACCCTGTTTAGAGGGGGTTTGTGGGCAGTCCTTGACCTAGCTCGCTCTGATTCTCACTTGTCAGCGCCGGCTGTGGGCGAACAGGTGTCCTGTGCACCGTGGATTATGTGAGACAGTTGCTCCTGACCCAGGTAGGAAGAGGGCGTCCATGTGCACATGTGCAGTCCGGGTCCTCTGCCCACGAGGTCCTGCTCACTTGTCTCTCTGTCCTAGATGATCCCACCTAACTTCAGCCTCTTCAATGTGGTCCTCGAGATTCGGAGGCAGCGGCCTTCAGCGGTACAGACTGAGGTGGGAGCCTGAACTCCTCCTTCCAAAGACATGTCCCTCCTCCTTGTCTGCCCTTCCCGATGACCCCTACCCCCTGTGCCCCCCAGGAGCAGTACAGGTTCCTGTACCACACGGTGGCTCAGATGTTCCTCTCAGCGCTCCAAAATGCCAGCCCTCACTACCAGAACCTCAAGGAGGTACCATGGCCCCCTTTCCAACCCTCAGAGACCGGGACCCAGAGAAGAGGTCTATGACCGCCGCCTTCGCAGGGTCCAGCCCCTGGACCTCTCCCGGGAGCGGGACTGACGCATTGTGATCCCTACCTTTGTCCTCCTCGTTGCTCCCTTACCAGACTGTCCCCTCTTAAGCTTCCCCCACAGTGGCCCACGGTGACCTCCGTCAGGAGCCCGGACAGCTTCCTCCCAAGCCTCACGTGCTTGCCCTCCGGTCTTCCTCCAGAACTGTGCCCCGCTCTACGACGACGCCCTCTCCGTCCGGACGTCCCAGGCCCTCGCTGCCATAGCCCGCCCGTCCGGCGGCGTCCTCAGGTACCCAGCTCCATCCCCGCATTCTTCCCTTTCCGATTTCTCTCGCCTGGAGGCGAACCCTTTTCTCACGCTGGAAACACCAGCCCCTTCCTTGCCGTTCACTTCAAATATTCACTGGCCCTTTCTTTGAATGGAGCTCTGGAACCCTCCGCTGGCTGACTCCTTAATCCCAGCGATCCCATCGTCTCAGCCTCTAAGGCGAGCCCTACAGGGCGATGTTAACCCTTTCCCCGCTCCCCCGTCATTAATTCAGCAGGTATTTCTTGATGCTGCCCACCTGTCAGGCCTCCTGTCGGGTGCAGCGGAGCCTTCAGCCCTCGGTCCCTGAGACTAGTTCTCCATTTTGAGGCTCTCCCTTCCTTCCCTTTAGATGTCACTTCCTCATTCATTTATTCAACAAAGAATTACACGGAGATGACCACCCCTCACTTCCAGCACCCGCCCCATTCACCTGCCAGGCTTCCCTCCATCCACGCAACCTGCCAGGCGATAGGGACACAGAAATGAGACCCCCTTCCCCAGAGATCCAACAGCCTCCGCCTCCTCCCTCCCTAACTGCGCGCCGCCTGGGCGGGAAGGAAGCCAGTGGTTTGTGCGCTGAGCGCGCTGCCCCCTCCCTTCCTCGGCGCCGCCGTTTCACTTCCTCCCGCCCTCCCCTCCCGCAGGAGCATCTCGGTGCCCGGGCCCCCGGCCCTCGCCATGAACGACACATACGCGGTGGTGCAGAAGCGCCCGGCCCCCGCGGGTACCGGGGAGACGGCGGGCGCGCGGGCGCGCAGCGCGTTGGAGGCGCCGGTCTACAGCCAGGTGATGCCGCGC